GCGCCTTTTTTCGTAAAATTTTTCTTACTCGTCTTTTTTCGCCGTCGAAACACTAGCGAGCCTTTATTCGTGTCTAGTGACTATATGTCCTTATGTAAGGAAAACAATTTAGTTGTATGTTTCCATACAAAAACACTATAGGGATATTCAGGATCTTGTGCATATGCAAGCATGGCAGCAAGCATAAAATTTGCAAATGCAATTCCAACTGCGATTTTTTTTTGCTAAATACCTAGAAATTTGTATCTGAAGTCAGCATTGATTTTGCTCATATATGATTCATAGACTTGTGGGACAAGGAACAAAACTATTTCCATGAATCACATGTGATTCATTGGACAGGAAACCTGTTGAAATTGTTATTAGGCTCCAAATATCAAAAAATAAAAGATTTTGTTAAAACTAAATTTTACACATTGCTGAGATCTAATCCATTGCGTTTCTTTCGAGATTTGCAGGACCGGCTCAGCTGTCTCTGCAGGATTTAGAACCAGCTTTGCAGTTTTGTCAATATCTTATTTACGGATATGCTGGTATCGATCCGGAAAGCTATCAATTGCGTCCCCTTAATAAAGAACTAGATGTGGCACGGAATCACTATCATGCAATCACCAACTTGCGCCGTAAATATCCACAGCTGTTGATATTCCTATCTGTCGGCGGTGATCGTGACCATTTTGACGAAATAGTTGATAATCCATATATCAGTCTGCTTGAAAATCAGGCCCATCGAAACACATTTGTCAATAGCGCTTTGGCGGTGTTGAAAGCTTACGACTTCGATGGTCTCGATTTGGCTTGGCAGTTTCCTAAAAACCATCCCATAGTGGTGGAAAACAGATTTAAGAAAGCTTGGAAAACATTTAAGGGTTGGTTCACAGGCAGGAAAGTCGTTGATGAGAAGGCCGAAGAGCACAAAGGGCAATTCGCAACACTGGTACATGAATTGAAAGATGCTTTCCGCAATGATGGCCTTATGTTGACACTAACAATGCTACCTCATGTGGATGCTGATCGTAAGTAACTATTCTTGGTATATGTATTTGAATACACTTAAGTACATCTGTGGTTTATGCAGTTTTCATCGATATACCCAGAGTGGTACCTATGGTCGACTTCGTCAATCTGGGTAGCTATGACTTTCAAACACCCGAGCGGGATCCGAAGGTGGCGGATCACACCGCTCCTATTTACGAAATGTTCGAACGCGACCCTACCCATAATATCGACTACCAAGTACAGTACTGGCTCAATAATTCAGCTCCCAGCAATAAAATTAATGTTGGTGTACCGGCGTACGGGCGTTCGTGGGTGATGACGCGCGACTCTGGTATTACGGGCTACCCGCCGATTGAGCACACAGAAGGGCCAGGCCCCGCTGGTAAACAAATTAATATTCCTGGTTTGATGAGCTGGCCAGAAATTTGTGAGACATTGCAACGTGACAAAGAGTTGGATGGTGAGGATGCCGCCCTGCGTAAAGTGGGCGATCCGCGACAACGTTACGGAAGCTATGCTTATCGATCGGCCGATGTGGATGGACTCTATGGTTTGTGGGTGGGGTATGAGGAACCCAGTACGGCAGCCATCAAAGCAGCTTATGTGTATGCAAAGGGTTTGGGTGGCGTAGCTTTGTTCGATTTGTCCTTGGATGATTTTCGGGGCCAATGTGCAGGCGAGAAATATCCTATTTTAAGAAGTATTAAGTTTAAATTATAAATCTAGTTAATAAAAAATTCGTGTAAATTGAGAAAAGCTAGCCCATTGTGTGCTCGTTCTCTGCCTATGCCTGTACATGCATGATAATAAGCATTGAATGATTTGCAAAAATCTAACCATATAGGGGAGCGAAGGGTATTTTGGACCNGCGAGAAATATCCTATTTTAAGAAGTATTAAGTTTAAATTATAAATCTAGTTAATAAAAAATTCGTGTAAATTGAGAAAAGCTAGCCCATTGTGTGCTCGTTCTCTGCCTATGCCTGTACATGCATGATGATAAGCATTGAATGATTTGCAAAAATCTAACCATATAACATAAGGAAAACTTTCTTTAGAAAAATCAGAAATCTGAATATTTTCTCAATTTTAATGGATAACACAGCCCAACAGAAAGAGAAAAAATTTTTGTGCGGCAAATGTTACAGCTGGTTTTGATAGACTTTTTTATGCTGATTACGAATCTGTAAGCATGTCCAGATTCTTAAAAAAACCAGGTCAAAGTGTCAAAAATCGCGTTTTTTTAATATTTTAGAAGCTCTAACAAAGAAACAAAAGCTAGAACTTTCGTCTACTATCTCTGAAAATATCATTCCTGCACCTTAACTTGATGGTCAGTTAGTCATTTGTTATATACTTTTATATATTTTTATTCCGATTTAGAAAAAATGAGGAACAAGCTGAATCAAATTTTTGAACGGTTATTATAGGTTTAAAAAAGAAGTGTCATTAACATCGGTTATTGTGGTACACCAACTGNGCAAATGTTACAGCTGGTTTTGATAGACTTTTTTATGCTGATTACGAATCCGTAAGCAGGTCCAGATTCTTAAAAAAACCAGGTCAAAGTGTCAAAAATCGCGTTTTTTTTAATATTTTAGAAGCTCTAACAAAGAAACAAAAGCTAGAACTTTCGACTACTATCTCTGAAAATATCATTCCTGCACCTTAACTAGATGGCCAGTTAGTCATTTGCTATATACTTTTATTTATTTTTATTCCAATTTAGAAAATTTAGAAATGAGGAACAAGCTGAATCAAATTTTTGAACGGTTATTATAGGTTTAAAAAAGAAGTGTCATTAACATCGGTTATTGTGGTACACCAACTCTACATTGAATTATTGTAAAAAAATATATCTTTCCCATGATTCCAGAAAATTATAAAAATAATAAAACTATTAGCATTAATAGCTGACACTACGAAAATTTAAATAAGCCACAATACTCGCTGGTGTAATTTTTAATTTTATACGTTTCACAAAATAAATAGTAAGCATTCAAGATCTAAAAAAAAATACATTTTTACAACAAAAACGTGTAATATGTAAATACAGGACTTGAAATAAAACGTACGTTTCATAAAACGTAAGTTTCATAAGGTGCACGGAATCCTTTAATCGAAATGGGTCAAAATCCAGTATGTATAATTTCTTTTCAAACACAATATTTGACTGGAATTTTTTATATATATTTTTTTTTGTTTCCCATCACAGAGTTCATTTGTGCTTGAATCGCTATTTTAAATGGCTCCCTCTTTTTTTTTTTT